CTGCGTCCGCCTACTAGGAGCCGGCCGCATTTTCTTACCCACTGCAGCGTCGTGAGGGGATATGCTAGTGCTTCTACGCAGCGAGCACCTCCTCTTCTGGACCGGGAGCGGCCTCGCCTTTTTTCCTTCTGCGCTGTTCCTCCACCCTCTAATCTCCGGAACTTCCTCCACGATGACTTCCTCTTCACCATATCAATGGTGGACACTGTGCTCCTCTTCTTGTTCACTGGTGTTTCTCCTTCCCATTTCGCCGCTGGCCTCCCTCTGTCTTGAGGCCTCTTGATCCTTCCCTAGCGTGAGGCACCTCTGCAGCCACTTTTCTCCTCCCACCACTTCCCCTCACTCCAACAGCTGCCGCAGGAGAGTCTTTATGTCTCAAGAGGTGAGGAGTGAATTATAGCTCTTCTGCGCTCCAAATTCCTCTGGCGACTTGCCCGGATTTCTCAACGTCTCTTCCTTTTTTGGGGTTCTTGGGGCTTCTAGAATGTTCTGGGGGGATCAGGTGACCCTTTTTGACCAATCCTGATTGACCCCCCCCCAGATGCAGGTCAAGCGGGGCCACGGGATATGACATTGTTACTCTGATCGAGACCTGGTAGTGGAGGTTTGCACAGCACGAGTGGAGGAAGATATACACTGTGGAGATACTGTGATTACTGCTTGGCTCCTATTCACTTTTGTGAGTATTTTTAATCACAATAAATTGTGAAGTTCTTTTATCTAATGCATTATGAGAGTCCTTGTTGTCTCCACTTACTTTCATTAATACCCTTGAGATGCTACGTTGGGAGGAACCGTGTTGTTCAAGAGTGATGTCCTAAGCATGGCTTTCTTTGAAGCCTTTATGACCATACCCTAACCGGTGGTCTTATCATCTGGTAAGGGTGTATTCACATGGTTAGTGGTGGATTGGTGGAAGATGCTATGTTGGGAGGAACCGTGTTGTTCAAGAGTGATGTCCTATGCATGGCTTTCTTTGAAGCCTTTATGACCATACCCTAACCGGTGGTCTTATCATCTGGTAAGGGTGTATTCACATGGTTAGTGGTGGATTGGTGGAAGATGCTATGTTGGGAGGAACAGTGTTGTTCAAGAGTGATGTCCTAAGCATGGCTTTCTTTGAAGCCCTTATGACCATACCCTAACCGGTGGTCTTAACATCTGTTAAGGGTGTATTCACATGGTTAGTGGTGGATTGGTGGAAGTGTCTTACTCATCTTTGCTTTGGTTCACACTAGTTTGGAGGAACTCATGGGATGGCAGACGGAATAAACCTCCAGATACAAAAAAAACATAACAACCATCTTGGCTGAATAATGGCCGCGGCCTTGTTTATTGGTTTTCACAGCTTTAACAAATCATAAATATAGCTTTTATTTCAAAAACCATAAATATTTTAAATTACATAACCACATCAGCTCAGTCATTAAGGCTCGCGCTGTAATGTCATTTAAACTGTTTTTTAATTAATAATTTTTTTACTAGTCCCCTTTCAAAATTATTTAGAAAGGGACCCACTACATAAACCAGCCTCGATGAGGGAGGGAGGGTGGGGCGCTCCAAATTCCTCTGGCAACTGGCCCGGAGCCCTCAACGTCTCTTCCTTTTATGGGGTTCTTGGGGCTTCTAGAATGTCCTGGGGGTCATGTGACCCTTTCTGACCAATCCCGATTGAGCCCCCCCAGAACTTCCAGAAACTTCCCAGTCAGCTGATCCATTTTGGCCAATCACATTTCCCCCATTCATTTTAAACCCTGAGGGGGACTAGAAACCTATCCACCGCCATCCCATGAGGAAAAGGGAAGTGCCTGGAAACTTCCATGTTTCCCCCCCCCCCCTTTTCTTTACATTCCATCTGTTTTCCGTGGGGACAGCACTGGATTTGCACTTTTATATGGTGGACTTTCTATGGGAATTTTCTGTTTATATAATGTTTGTTTATTAGTTTGCACAGTTTTTCACCATTTAATATTTGTTCTATGTAAGTGCTGCACTTTTATTACAGTACCTTTTTGAGTTTGTATCATTACTCTTGGTGCTAGCTGCTAACTTTTTATTGTTGCACCTAAGCGCAGAATTTACACTTTTTTTTTATATATATACAGCCCTGTCGGGCTGTAATGTTAGCATTTGGGTGGGTGGCTGGTAGAACGGTGGCTCATCTGCCAGTTTTTATTACCCCCCAGCCACCCATGTGAAAGAGAGCACTCACAGTGTATGGTCTGCATTGGGATTCAGAAAGCATTCCTTTTTGCTGGTACTCATAAACTGGAAGTGGAAGAGTTTTGAACTGTTTGTTAGACAGACAAGTGCCCGGTCCCGACAAGGCTCAAGTCATTCTGCACAGGGGCCCTCTGCGGTCCCTCTTTGCAAGTATGTCAATGGATTTCCACATCACCCTGTTAAATAATGCTATCAGGTTTCTATATGATGGATATCTTACAAGTTCTAACGAAGGGGACTGTCAATGTGCCTCAGGGGGAGTTATACCAGTATCTTCACTGCGGCTTTCTTCCTCCAGCGCTCCAGACTTGCTGTAACAGAAGCACAATCCTGCTAGAAGCAGATATTTCCTTTCCTAGCTATGTACCATGTGAGGAGCAGGCCTAGCTCACCTCCTGCCCAGACATGTTGGAGAGCAGGCTGCTGTTTTCATGAACTCAAGTGTCCCTGATAGGCCTTGACAGGGATCATCAGTGCTTACACACTATATTGCCACAGGCTGGAAACCCTACTTTTTGTTTTTTGTTTGCAGTCAAAGGATGTTTTAATCCTTTTTTCTTTCTGTAACCGTGCTATGTCTTACGTTTCACTGTGACCTGAGTGTACAAAGCTGCTCTTAATGCATCACATACTGATGAGCTTTGTTTGTAGACAAACTGCTCTATAGTTTGCACTGTGTAGTACAGCCTTTCTGCACCTTTTCAACGCAGACATAACTGTCTAGTTTTAGGGATCCCCTGCTAAAAATGACTATATCCACAATTCATGATACATCAGTGTGATAGTCAGAGGTAAGAATGCTCCTTACACTTGTGGTCATTGGGAAGAACGACCCCCTTATAGATAGCTAAAAAGATCAATGGTGTCAGTGGGAACTTAACTGAGAGGCAAAATCTGCTCATTGCTCAAGGAACCCCTGGAGGAACCCTGGTTGAGAAATCCTGGTGTAGTAAATCATGTTGGTAATTAGCCACTTGCCCTCCTGAGGATTCACCCCCCTTCCTGACCAGGCCATTTTTGCATTACGGAGCTGCGTTACTTTGTGCGGTCATGCAATGCTGCACCCAAATGAAATTTATGTCCTTTTTTTCCCCCACAAATAGAGCTTTCTTTTGGTGGTATTTCATCACCTGTCCATTTTTTTTTTTTTTTTTTGCACTATAAACAAAAAAAATACAAAAAAACAATATTTTTGACTTTTTGCTATTAAACATGTCCAGTAAAAAAAAATGTAAAAATCCCATTTTGTCACAAATTTAGGCCAAAATGTATTCTGCCACATGTCTTTGCTAAAAGAAAAAATCCCACTACATGTAAATTAATTGGTTTACATGAAAGTTATAGCATTTACAAATGGCAGTGTATATACTGAAATTTTTTTTTTCTTTCCTACTAGTAATGGCGGCGATCAGCAACTTATAGCGGGACTGCGGCAGGGCATTCTGAGGGGAACTGACTTGATGTCACTGACATCCCCAGTGACACCAATACAGTGATCATTGCTAAAAAAAAAAAATCACTAATGGCATGGGTAGGAAGGGGTTAACATGTGGGGCGATCAAAGGGTTAACTGTGTGCTGTTTCACTATGTGCTGTGTAAGTGCTTTCCACTGTAAGCACACTGCTTGGTATGGCTCTGCAGAGTCATACCAAGCAGTGTGCAGGAGCCAACAGGGGAGAGATCTGTGTTGTTTACACATAGGTCTTTCCACCATTGGAGATACTCAGCGATCACAGGGTGCCGATGAGAAATCACTGGCTGGGACCAGGTGATATGACAACCGTGCGCCACCTACCCAGAACTGCAAAATTGTGTATGAGTGTGTGTATATATATATATATATATATATATGTGTGATTTTGAGCACCTGTGCCGCCCTGTAGCAGTATTTCTGCTATAGTGCGGTGCAGAAGCGGTTAGGGAGCCTGACCTTATTTTTTTAAAGCTGAACAGAATAAGTAAATATTTTCTAGACACCGTACAAGAGATGTGTATTGTTATTGTAATCTTGGTGTGATTTGTTTATTTCTTCCAGATCTGTGTAGTATTGCAGTATTGCAGTTTGAAACTTTTCCGCTCTGTAGGAGCCCCCTGTAATAAAGACTGGTCACTGCTGCTCTCTCTCCTTGTACAGAGTGACTGGTCTTGTCTCCGCCCTCTCCTGTAGTTTTCTGCAGGCAGCCTGTAGTGGGTGGAGCCTGATGGATCTCTGTATGGGCTATGTGCAGCACAGTAACAATGTCACTGCTAATTTTACAAAGTAATGTCTGGGTTGGCAAAGATGTTTGGTGCACACAAAGTTATTTTATAGCCTTTGAGGTGATTGAGAAAAATATCTGAATTAAAGCTTTTTCAGCTGGAGGTCAGATTTAATATCATTCTTTTGGTATAAAGAAAACTGTTTGTTTCCTAATATCATTGAGTGTCAATCAACATATATAATAATTATTGATGAGTTTGCATTACATTTTATATTATATTTTAATTCTTTCAAAAATTCACAACTAATTTGGCAAAGACTAAACAAAATAAATCTAGCTCTCTGCAAACCTAAAATGGGACGCTATTAGAGAAACTATAACCACATCATAAGGTTAGGATCCTCTTTGTAGTTCTGAAGGCTGCCCACTTATGATACTTCCCTGCGCAGGGCTTGCTCCCTCTCCTCTGCATGGCATGATGACGTCAGCACATGGCCTTTGCCTGAGAGCTACGTACTATTGCAGTGTGCACAAAGCAGCCCTTTAATTGATGACATCAACTGATATAGTGTGTGTGTGTTTGTGTATATATACTATATACTGTATAACACCCAGTAAACATTACCTATACTATGGCATGGTGCTGGTGATCATGTGATCAACTATTAGTTTTTTTTTATTAAACTTAAGAGCTTGAAAAAGCATATGTAAGATGCTGATAGCCTGGTTTTCATGGTAACCAGGGGCGGACTGACCATTTGGAAACTCGGGCACTGCCCGAGGGGCCCCGGGGTCAGTAGGGGGCCCCATGAGATGCCCCTGGTACCTTTTTTCATAGGCTTTTGTGGGTTTGGGCAAGGACACAAGGGCCCCATGATCCCCTATTGCCCGGGGGGCCCCATGAGTTGTCAGTCCACCCCTGATGGTAACATCTTCAATGCTTTGAGTCACTGATCTGGAACAAGGGTGCAGAAACAGACTTTCCTGATCTGCCTACTTGTACAAGGTCAGTGACTCAGCATAACTGAAGCTAGTGAGCTGACATAAAGCTCACCATACATGTTACAATCTAACTGGGCAATTGGGGTTATTTACTAAAAGTGGAGAGTGCAAAATCTGGTGCAGCTCTGCATAGCAACCAATCACCTTCAAGGTTTTATTGTCAAAGCCTAATTGAACAAGCTGAAGTTAGAAGCTGATTGGCTACCATGCACAGCTGCACCAAATTCTGAGTTCTCCAGTTTTAGTAAAATCTCCCACAATTTCTTTTAGATTTACCAAAATGATGTAATAAAAGGACCTGCCTAACCCATCCAAACAATTTTTATACAACCAGACAGCCCTTACACTACTTACTTGTTAGTAGATCTAAAGGAGATTGCATAGTCAGATTGTAACATGTGTGGTGAGTTTTACAGCCAGGCAATTAACATTTTCTGAAGTAGAAGCCCAACATATTTCTCTCATGATGGCTTTACTTTTCATTTGCAATTTGTTTTATTAAGTTTTTCATGAACAAATAAGACACGTTTAAAATTGACAGAAAAGTACTATAGATCATCAGTTTATCACAGTGTTAAACAATTTAATCAGAACCAGGGGCGCACTGACCATGAAAGCACTTGAGCACTGCCCAAGGCCCAGTAGGGGGCCCCATGAGATGCCCCTGGTACCTTTCAGAGGCTTTTTTGGGTGTGGTTTGAGTGTGGGTGAGGACATAGGGGTCCCATGATCCCTAATGCCTGGGGGCCCCATGAGTTGTCAGTTCTCCCCTGATCAGAACATAACAAAATACAAAAATGTGAATTGTCCCTGAGTCTGCATTAACCGCCATTGTCGAGGCCCCTCCCACCTGTCCTCCGACTTAATTAGCTGACCCAGAGAGTCCATTATCTCCAAACCTTGCCATTGAAAATGCAGTAGGACATCAAAGAGTTTTCCATTGATAATGCAAAGTCTTGAATAACTATATGTAGGTCAAGGAGCTTCTCCAAGTAAACCGGGATCTAAGAAAAGCATACCTTATGTTACCGCTCCAAGCTATGGATGGAAGGAAAAGTATCACCCCACCAGCAAGTGAGAAGAGGGGAGCATGAGTCTGAACGATTCCAGTGTCAGCCAATACAAGTGAAGGGACACTTCTCAACCGACCCCAGGAGTTCAGTGTTGAGGAGTGGCCTCAGCTGCTGTTCTGGCCACACCCTCTGACACATTTCACCCCGCCCACCGGAGGGGGCGCTTGGTCAAAGTTTGTGGGTGGGGCAAAATGTGTCAGCGGGAGTGGCCACAATGGCGGCCGAGGCCATTGCTCATCATTGGACTCCTGGGATTGGTTGAGCAGCATCCTTCTAAAACACAGGGATCTAAGACGCCATAGTAGTGAAAGAAAGGAAGGAAAGTAGAGGTGGGGCAAGCATCCTCTCCAGACTCGGAGGAGATATTTCTAGTTCAGCTGGTATTGCCCATCAGGTATCGGATACAAGGATCCCACATGTTTTTGAACAACAGCAGTTTATCAATTAAGAGTGCCGAAAGGAGTTCATTGATCATAATCCAAGACATCTTTGTCTTTAATAATTCAAGTTGAACTATTGGAGACTTCCAGTATCTAGCAATAGTGACATGTGCCGCTATGTATATATATGTTATCAGTCATCTTCTGGGTTTCGGGCTCCCTCCACTGGACAGCCCAGCGAGTTTACTTTTAGCCCTGGTTCACACTGATGCGATGTGGAATTCACAGCGTTTTCAGTGAGAATTCCGCACCACATCAGAATCGCACCCTGTTTATGTGAACTGCTGCAGGTGTGTACGTTAACACCCAAAAGCAGTCCGCAAAACGCAGTGCAATGTGCAGAATCGGATTGCATAGGTGTGAATACCCATGTGATCCGATTCTAGTGTGGACCCAAAAATGGGTCCTGCACGTTTATGGTGCGGTGCGATTAGAGCCATACAAAATGTATGGCTCCGATCACACCACACACAAATCACATGTGATTTGCACAGGAATGCGGTGCGGTTTCTGTGCGAATCACATGCGATATACCGCACCGCATATATGTGAACCCTGGTTTAAAGCAGAACTATACTCACTTATACTCCAGCACCAGCCATTGGCATCTTCAGCCCGGCAACTTCGGGTATTGATTGCAGGGCCGAGATGACCGGCATGTGCGGGAGTGCAGTCAGCTCAGCATTGACGGAATTCAACACAGAATGTGCGTGCACAGCTCAGTGTACAGTGGCTGACAGGCAGGTAAGCGACTTTAGTGCAAAAGAGACATGGTATTAAAGAGTATGTAAACCCTATATTTCAAATTCCTGATATGTGCCTGCTGTATCATGTGCTTGCATGAAAAAGTATCCTGTTCTCTCTGTAATGCTTCCTTTGTATGAAATCCCTGGTGTTCCTGGCAGTCCCTCTGCTTTCCTGTTAAAACTGACCACGCTAGACAGGAGAGCACAGCCTGCTCAGTTCTCTAGCTGTGCTGGGAACTCAGCCTGCTCTCCTCCATAAACAGACTTGTCCTGACGTGCACTCCCCCCCCCTTCCCCCTGCATGGCCATTCACTAGGATGGCCAGTGTCCTGCTGTTTCTCCTCCCCAGCCCTTATGCAGCTTAGAACAGAGGGAATGTGATCACTTATAAAAAAAAAAAAAGGGAAACAATGTATTTACAGTGTTTGTTTTTTATATGTATATACACATTTTCCTTTCATTACTATTTTTTACTGAAAGAGTTGTTTTACAAGGTGAGGGTTCTGTCTTTAAAAATTCTGTCAAATTTTTATTTTTGTCATTAAAGTTCGACTTTAAGCAGGGCTTCAGCTGATCTGTTTTACGTTTAATATGGTCTGCCGTTGTTTACCTTCTGCTGCTCTCCATACAATACAGGGACAGGCTCTCCTTCGCTGGCATGAAAATAATCAATACTGCAGCAAATCAGGAGAACCCACCCAGAAAAATGTGTCTGGCAGTAAGAGAGTGTGCAGTTCTAATGGAATGATCTATTACCCGCAGGTGAGCTAGCATGCAGGTCATGTGGGGGAGACAATGCAAAGATGAGCATGCTATAGTCTTATGATAAATAAAGTGTCATAAAGCTCAGTTATAGACACTTTATAATACAAAGATTTGTATTTTGCTTTTGGCGTAAGCATTCTTATAAAACATCATTATTATATGCTATAATGCCATCCCGATACACACATCCCAATGTTACTTGTCTTTGTAGGACAGATTCTGATTCTAATTTCGGCAGGGGTTCTGTATTTATCCATAATGATCATTGATAATTCTAACCAGGCTTTGTTCAGATCTAATGTTAAAATCCTGCCTGGTATATTAGTACTGCCAGATTTCCAGCTATTATTATTTATTACAGGTACTTTTATAGCACCATCAATTTATGCCGCACTTTACATATATTGCACATTTACATTGGTCCCTAACGCTCATGAAGTGTACAATCTAAGGTCCCTAGCTCACATTCATACATACACATACTGTATTAGGACCAATTTACCTACCAGCAGGGGCGTCCCTAGGGTTGGTGTCACCTGGTCCGATAACACTTGGTGACACCCCCTCCGACGATCCCCGCAGAATGGATCGGATCTGCAGATTGAGCATAATGGATCGAAGTCTGATCCATTATCCTCCCCAATCCGCAGATCCGATCCATCCTGCGGGGATTGTCCGCATGCAACCTATACGGGGTTTACTGATCTCTCCACTAAGAGGTAAGCTTTAAAGCAAGCTGATGATCCCCGCAGCATGGATCGGACCTGTGGATTGGGGAGCATATTGGATCAGACTCCGATCCATTATGCTCAATCCGCAGATCCGATCCATCCTGCAGGGATCATCGACTTGCTTTAAAAGCTTACCTTTTTGTGGAGTGGGTCCAGTGTCACCCAGTATGGCGCGCACCCCCCCCGCACTTGCCTAGGGACGCTCCTGCCTACCAGCATGTCTTTGGAGTGTGCAAAGAAAATGAAGTACTGAAGTACCCAGAGGAAACCCACGCAGGCACAGGAAGAACATGCAAACTCTGTGCAAGTAATGCCGTGGTTGGGATTCAAACTGACAGCCCTAGTGCTGCCAGGCAGAAGTGCTAACCACTTAGCCATTGTGCTGCCCATACAGCTAAATATACACACCACAATCTTTACATAGCTAAAGGGGTGAGATAAAGGAGATGCGTAAACACCATCTACCTCTGCTACATGACCTTTCTTGCTGTGCAGAGAGGGGTTGGGTTGACCTACCTATTCATATCAATGGGGGATTCTTGATAACCACATAGAATCAATGGGGGATTCTTAGGGATTCTTAGCAACTGGATAGAGATAATGGGGATTCTTAGTAACCACATAGAGATAACGGGGGATTCTTAGTAACCACATAGAGATAACGGGGGATTCTTAGTAACCACATAGAGATAACGGGGGATTGTTAGCAACCACATAGAGATAATGGGGATTCTTAGCAACCACATAGAGATAATGGGGATTCTTAGCAACCACATAGAGATAACGGGGGATTCTTAGTAACCACATAGAGATAATGGGGGATTCTTAGTAACCACATAGAGATAACGGGGGATTCTTAGTAACCTGCATAGAATCAATGGGGGATTCTTAGTAACCACATAGATAATGGGGGATTCTTAGTAACCACATAGAATCAATGAGGGATTCTTGATGACCACGTAGGGGGGGATTCTTACTGACCGCATAGATCAATGGGGGATTCTTAGTAACCACATAGGATCAATGGGGGATTCTTAGTGACCGCACAGAATCAATTAGAGATTCTTGATGACCATGTAGAATAAATGGGGAGATTCTTAATAACCAAATAAAGTCAATGGGGGATTCTTGATAACCATATAGAGTTAATGGGGGATTCTTAGTAACCACATAGAATCAATGAGGGATTCTTGATAACCACGTAGGGTCAAATTGGGATTCTTAGTGACCACATAGTAGAATCAATGGGACATTCTTAGTAACCACATAGAATCAATGGGGGATTCTTAGTAACCACATAGAATCAATGGGGGGTTCTTAGTAACCACATAGAATCAATGAGGGATTCTTGATAACCACATAGGGTCAATTGGGATTCTTAGTAACCGCACAGAATCAATGGGGCATTCTTATTAACCACACAGAATCAATGAGAGATTCTTGATAACCATGTAGAATAAATGGGGGATTCTTAATAAGCAAATAAAGTCAATGGGGGATTATTGATAACCACATAGAGTTAATGGGGGGATTCTTAGCAGCCACATAGAATAAATGAGGGATTATTGATAACCAGATAGAATCAATGGAGGATTCTTTATAATGGCATAGAATGAATGAGAGATTCTTAGTAACTGCATAGAATCAATGAGGGATTCTTGATAACCACGTAGGGTCAATTGGGGATTCTTACTGACCGCATAGATCAATGGGGGATTCTTAGTAACCACATAGAGATCAATGGGGGATTCTTAGCAACCACATAGAGATAACGGGGGATTCTTAGTAACCACATAGAGATAACGGGGGATTCTTAGCAACCACATAGAGATAACGGGGGGATTGTTAGTAACCACATAGAGATAATGGGGATTCTTAGCAACCACATAGAGATAATGGGGGATTCTTAGTAACCACATAGAGATAACGGGGGATTCTTAGTAACCACATAGAGATAACGGGGGATTCTTAGTAACCACATAGAGATAACGGGGGATTCTTACTAACCACATAGAGATAACGGGGGATTCTTACTAACCACATAGAGATAACGGGGCATTCTTAGTAACTGCATAGAATCAATGGGGGATTCTTAGTAACCGCATAGATAATGGGGGATTCTTAGTAACTACATAGAATCAATGAGGGATTCTTGATAACCATGTAGGGTCAATTGGAGATTCTTACTGACCGCATAGATCAATGGGGATTCTTAGTAACCACATAGAGATAACGGGGGATTCTTAGCAACCACATAGAGATAACGGGGGATTCTTAGTAACCACATAGAGATAATGGGGATTCTTAGTCTAGAGATAACGGGGGATTCTTAGTAACCACATAGAGATAATGGGGATTCTTAGTAACCACATAGAATCAATAACGGGGGATTCTTAGTAACCACATAGAGATAACGGGGGATTCTTAGCAACCACATAGAGATAACGGGGGATTCTTATAACCACATAGAGATAACGGGGGATTCTTAGTAACCACATAGAGATAACAGGGGATTCTTAGTAACCACATAGAGATAACGGGGGGATTCTTAGTAACCACATAGAGATAACGGGGCATTCTTAGTAACTGCATAGAATCAATGGGGGATTCTTAGTAACCACATAGATAATGGGGGATTCTTAGTAACTACATAGAATCAATGAGGGATTCTTGATAACCACGTAGGGTCAATTGGGGATTCTTAGTGACCGCATAGAATCAATGGGGCATTCTTATTAACCACACAGAATCAATGAGAGATTCTTGATAACCATGTAGAATAAATGGGGGATTCTTAATAAACAAATAAAGTCAATGGGGGATTATTGATAACCACATAGAGTTAATGGGGGGATTCTTGTCAGCCACATAGAATAAATGAGGGATTATTGATAACCAGATAGAATCAATGGAGGATTCTTTATAATGGCATAGAATGAATGAGAGATTCTTAGTAACTGCATAGAATCAATGAGGGATTCTTGATAACCACGTAGGGTCAATTGGAGATTCTTACTGACCGCATAGATCAATGGGGGATTCTTAGTAACCACATAGGATCAATGGGGGATTCTTAGTGACCGCACAGAATCAATTAGAGATTCTTGATGACCATGTAGAATAAATGGGAGATTCTTAATAACCAAATAAAGTCAATGGGGGATTCTTGATAACCATATAGAGTTAATGGGGGATTCTTAGTAACCACATAGAGATAATGGGGGATTCTTAGTAACCACATAGAATCAATGAGGGATTCTTGATAAACCACGTAGGGTCAATTGGGATTCTTAGTGACCGCATAGAATCAATGGGACATTCTTAGTAACCACATAGAATCAATAGGACATTCTTAGTAACCACATAGAAACAATGGGGGGTTCTTAGTAACCACATAGAATCAATGAGGGATTCTTGATAACCACATAGGGTCAATTTGGGATTCTTAGTGACCGCATAGAATCAATGGGGCATTCTTAGTAACCGCACAGAATCAATGGGGCATTCTTAGTAACCGCACAGAATCAATGAGAGATTCTTGATAACCATGTAGAATAAATGGGGGATTCTTAATAAGCAAATAAAGTCAATGGGGGATTATTGATAACCACATAGAGTTAATGGGGGATTCTTAGCAGCCACATAGAATAAATGAGGGATTATTGATAACCAGATAGAATCAATGGAGGATTCTTTATAATGGCGTAGAATGAATGAGAGATTCTTAGTAACTGCATAGAATCAATGGGGGATTCTTAGTAACCACATAGAAGTAATGGGGGATTCTTAGTAACCACATAGAATTAATGGGGGATTCTCGGCGCCCACATAGAATCAAAACTCCAAAGACATGCTGGTAGGTTAATTGGCTCCTGTCTAAATTGGCCCTAGTATGTGTAGGTATGAATGTGAATTAGGGACCTTATATTGTACTCTTGAGGGTTAGGGATTGATGTGAATGTACAATATATACAGTTGTGTTCAAAATAATAGCAGTCAGACATCACTAACCTGATCAAACACTGTTTTTGGGAGAAATTATATTTCTACATGGCAAATAATTTACTAGCAGGTGTAGTAGAGTAATAGAAATCCAACAGACCCAACAGTCATGGCATGCATGCTGCTCATTCTGTGTAATTGAATCACTAATTGAAAGGGGCATGTTCAAAAATAATAGCAGTGTGGAGTTCTATTAGTGAGGTCATTCATTTTTGAAAAACAGGTGTCAATTATTACCCTTATTTAAGGAAGGAAGGCAGCAAATGTTGTACATGCTGGTTACAGTGCATTTCTCTCTGAAATTCTGAGGAAAATGGGTCATTCCAGACATTGTTCAGAAAAACAGCGTACCTTGATTAAAAAGTTGATTGGAGAGGGGAAAAACATAAAGAAGTACAGAAAATGATAGGCTGCTCAGTTAAAATGATCGTGCAAATGCTTTAAAATGGCAACCAAAACCTGAAAGACCTGGAAGAAAGTGAAAAACTACCATTCGAATGGATAGAATAGCCAAAATGGCAAGGACTCGGTTAACAATCAGCTCCAGGAAGATCAAAGACGGTCTAAAGTTACCTGTGAGTACTGTTACAATTAGAAGACGCCTATGTGAAGCCAAGCTATCTGCAAGAAGCCCCCGCAAAGTCCCACTGTTGAAAAAAAGACACGTGCTGAAGAGGTTACAATTTGCCAAAGCGCACATTGACTGGCCTAAAGAGAAATGGCGCAACATTTTGTGGACTTATGAAAGTAAGATTGTTCTTTTTGGGTCTAGTGGCCAGAGACAGTTTGTCAGACAACCCCCAAACACTGAATTCAAGCCACAGTACACTGTGAAGACAGTGAAGCATGGTTGCACAAGCATCATTATATGGGGATGTTTCTCATACTACGGTGTTGGGCCTGTTTATCACATACCAGGGATTATAGGATCAGTTTGAATACATCAGAATACTTGAAGAGGTTATGCTGAAGAGGAAATGCCCTTGAAATGGGTGTTCCAACAAGACAATGACCCCAAACACACCAGTAAACGTGTATACAAAGTGCAGCGCTATATTCTGAACCAATGAAAATGATAAAAGCAAATAAAACATCAAAACTAAATCAATATGAGATATGATAAATAAGGATAAATGATCCCAAATGGATCTCAATAAAGTTCAAACGGAGATATGGACCAGGAAAACGATGTATATATCATATATATATATTAAATTAAAATATATAATATATATATGATATATATACATCGTTTTCCTGGTCCATAACTCCGTTTGAACTTTATTGAGATCCATTTGGGATCATTTATCCTTATTTATCATATCTCATATTGATTTAGTTTTGATGTTTTATTTGCTTTTATCATTTTCATTGGTTCAGAATATAGCGCTGCACTTTGTATACACATTATTGATTTCCAGGGTGATATTGGTTACCTTTTGTGCTTAGCGGCTTGTTCTTTATATATTAAGGAGCTTTTACTGTTTTCTCTTACACCAGTAAACGTGCAACATCTTGGTTCCAGACCAACAAGATTGACGTTATGGAGTGGCCAGCCCAATCCCCGGATCTTAATCCAATAGAAAAACTTGTGGGGTGACATCAAAAATGCAAAACCAAGTAATAGAGAAGAACTGTGGAATGTAGTCCAATCATCCTGGGCTGGAATACTTGTTCACAGGTGCCAGAAGTTGGTTGACTCCATGCAACACAGATGTACAGCAGTTCTCAGAAACAGTGCTTATACAACTAAATATTAATTAAGTGATTCAAAGGAAAGCAAAATCTTCAAACATTTTTTAGTTTATATAGTGAATGTCTGAGCTTGTAAAGAAGAATACAAACACTGCTATTTTTTTGAACAGTCTAATATTCTTCAATTTTTTTAGAGGAACAACACAAATTTGATATATTTTTCTTCATGTTTTGATTTGGAATAGAATGTGTAGTGTTCCCAATGCATTTGTGCGTATGGAAATAAAAGCTATTAGAAAGATTTTGAGCTTTATTCACTTTTTTTCAACACACTGCTATTATTTTGAACACAACTGTATATATAAAGCTTATTTTGGAAGTAATGTATTGTATTGTAACTTCATAGAATAAATAGTAGATCCTTGATAATCCCATAAAATAAATGGGGTTTCTTGATAACCATAGTATCAATGGGGGATTCTTGATAACTGCATAGTATCAATGGGGGATTCTTGATAACCACATAGAACAGAAACAGTTGTCAGAAGTTCACAAAACATTCGAAGAGAAATATGTTAGAGAAAAACGTCAGAGGAAGATGTAGACTGCATGTGATATCCTCTTTTTCTGAAAATGCTATTTCTCTGAATATCATCCTGAACTAATTTGAGCTTTTTTACCTGGAACAAGCAAGCAGATCAGGCATTCTGACTTCACTTTTTGCATGCAGCCCCCACTGCATGGGAGCATTTTCCCTTCCCTAGAGATGAAACAATCTCCATATTTGTCTCAGTACAGGATTCCTTAAAGAATACTAAAATGTAGAGAATTCATGAGAATTAATACTTGGCATTTTTCCACCTTTAATGTATTGAAGACAGAACCTCTTGAACATAGTCCAAGCTAAACATACTATTTTTATTAGCTCTGATGTGCTCTTCATACTGCCTGTGAATAATCATTAGTAATCAATAGCTAACTGATAGAACAAATATTTTCCCCTATGGGGTAAGCTGTACAGTATCATGTAACAGCTATTCATTGCAAACAACTGAAGAATTATGAGATCATTGCTGTTATTTGTCTTATCGCTCAGCAAACAATCAAAGTCAATGGCAGGAGATTTAAGGATCCATGCACATGGGCTTAAAAAATGCTGCTTCTAGAGGAGTTTAACAATTTGCCTGTAGAAGCAGATAATGTTATCCTATATATCCATGCACATTAGGTCATTTAGAGGCATACTTTAGCCTCAGCGTAAGGCTCTATTCACACTTAGGCTTTTCAAATCGCAGGTGGAATCACCAAAATTCTGCCCTCAAATCTGAAAATGCGCTGTGAAAAAAACGCGCATTTGTGTGTTCAAGTGCCATTCATTTCAATGGCACCTGAACATGGGGTGTTTTTGCCTTGATCGCGGCACGGTTTTCTGTGTGGCAACGTGCCACAATCAAAATTCAAATCAAAACAGTTCTGGAACTTTTTTTGGGCATTGCACGGTCTTGCGATTTTTTTTATTTTTTTTTTACACTATCACAGCACATTTGTAGAGCAGACAAATGCACCATGATCACAGCAAAAATGCTCCATGTTTTCAGGTGCCATTGAAATAAATGGCACCTATACACACAAATGCGTATTTTCACAGCACGTTTTAATATCGTGGGCAGAATCGCAGCGATTACGTTAGCAATTTGAAATGCGTAAGTCTGAATGGAGCCTTAAAGTCAGACAAAACTCTTCTGTTTTGCATTTTTGACAGTGTTTTGTTTTTTTTTGGCAGGAAAAAAAATTGTTAAATGCTCCTAAATGCTAGTACAAAAAAAGCACATAATTTGTATTTATTTCTGGCAAGAGCACTGGCATTTTTTAAATCAAGTGTGCATGGACCCTTACAGTGTGGTTGAACTATTACAAATTTCCAGTGTGGCTTAGGGGAAGGAATGACTTTCCATTTCATTATGTTTTAGATGTCTCCAGTAGTCATCACCCTAGTGTCTTGTGGAAACCGTTGCTTACTTGCTCACCAGGAGACCTTCCCACCTGGCATGTACACAGCTCTGGCAGGCTTCTGTGAAATTGGTAAAGAATTTCCCTAAACAACATTGCATTATAATAGTGTGATTCCGCAGTAGACAGTGTATTTTCACAAGCGCACTACAGTGGGGAAAATAATTATTTGATTCCCTGCAGATTTTGTACATTTGCCCGGTTATAAAGAAATGAAGGGTCTATAATTTTTAGCATGTGTTTTAAATGACAGAGACAGAATATCAACAAAAATCCAGAAAAAACACACGATACAAATGTTATTAATGGAGTTGCAGTTCAGTGAGTAAAATAAGTATTTGATCCCCTACCAACCCAACAATAATTCTGGCCCCCACAGACTGGCTCATGTGCTCACATGGTACACAGATTAGTCCTGTCATTTTAAAAAAAGTGCTCCTAACGACAACTGGTTACATGTATTAGGGTCCTTTTACACAGGTGTTCCATTTTTTTTTTTCATCTTTTCAGTCACGTTTTTTCAAAGAAAAAATGGATCAGTTTACATCTGTTTTTTACATGCTTTACCAATGCAAAAACACATGCAAAAATGGACCGTATGTTCGTTTACATCCGTTTTTCCTCTGTTTACATCCGTTTTTTTCATCCATTCAATTTTTTTTTTAATGGAAGAAAATATGGATGTTAACAGATGCAGACATTAATGGGTGTAAACAGATAATCATCTTCTTACATCCGCTAGTCCATAGAAATACATGGGTGTTCCGTTTTTCATCCATAAACGAGTAGATGAAAAGACACCTGTCCTCAGAATCACTTTCTTCCATTCAGATCTCACCACCATGGGCAAATGACCAAAGAGCTGTCAGAGTACACCATGGACAAGATTGTAGACCTGCACAAGGCTGGAATGGGCTACAAGACCAGCAGCAAGAAGCTTGGTGAGAAGGAGACAACTGCGATTATTCGCAAATGGAAGAAATACAATCTAACCATCAGTCTCCCTCGGGCTGGAGCTCCATGCAAGATTTCACCTCATGGGGTAAGGATGATCATGAGAAAAGTGAGGGATCAGCCCAGAACTTCACAGGAGAAGCTTCTGAATGATCTCAAGGCAGTTGGGACCACAGTTCCCAAACAAACCATTGGTAACACAATACACCATTATGTATTGAAATCTTGCAGCACCCGCAAGTACCCCTCCTCAAGAAGACACATGTACAGGCCTGTCTGATGTTTGCAAATGAATATCTAAATGATTCAGAGGATTGGGAGAAAGTGCTGTGGTCAGATGAGACCAAAATTAAACTCTTTTTGGTATTGACTCACCAAGTTTGGAGGAAGAAAAATGCTGACAAGACCCTAAGAACACCATCCCTAGTCAAGCATGGAGGTGGAAACATTATGCTTTGAGACTGTTTCTCTGCTAAAGGTACTTTGCTGCATTGAAGGGCCAATGAGCAGGGCCATGTATTGTAAAATCTTGGATGAGAACCTTCTTCCCTCATCCAGAACAGTGAAGATGATGGTCATGGATTGGTCATCCAGCATGACAATGACCCAAAACATACCACCAAGACAACAAAGGAGTGGTTCAAGAACATTAAGGTCATGGAGTGGCCTAGCCAGTCTGCAGCCCTTAATCCTATAGAAACTTTATGGAGGGAGCTGAAACCTCCAGTTGTCAAGCAACAGCCAAGAAACCTTAAGGATTTAGAGAAGATCTGTAAAGAAGAGTGGACCAACATCCCTCCTGAAATGTGTGCAATCCTGGTAACCAACTACAAGAAACGTCTTACCTCTGTGCTTGCCAACACGGGTTTTTTCACCTAAGTACTAAATCATGTTTTGCTTGGGGATCAAATACTTATTTTACTCACCGAACTGCAACTCAATTTATACCATTTGTATCGTGTTTTTTCTGTATTTTTTTGTTGAAATTTTGTCTCTAACATTTAAAATACACCTATGATAAAAAAACATAGACCCTTCATTTCTTTCTTAAGTGGGTAAACTTACAAAATCTGCAGGGGATCAAATAACTATTTTCCCCACTGTATAAGTTGGTATTGTAACATTTACCCAATAGAACTGTTTGACAAGGCTTTCACATTTTTATTTGCTTGCTATCGCATATCTGAACGTGTTTCAAGTGTAGATTTTGTTAATGCTCATTCTAGTGGTAATCTGCATATCTAGAAATGTGATCAGCAGTTCCTATTTAAAAGTGACATCTGTCCCATTCGTCTCAGATCAGCAGAGAATATGCTCATAGATTCCCTGCTGATCGGAGAAGACAGTACTTGTTGCACATGCAAGGTATGAACAGAGCCTTGCAGAAACCCTTTAACTCAGACCATTCCTCCTAAAGGAGTTCACAATCTAATATTCCTTTTACATGCTCACACAAAGCTAGTTGTAGGTGGAATCCATTTATCTTCCCAGTATGATGTGTACTATGGTTGGAACCCACAGGAAATGTGGGGGAATCATACAAACTCCATGCAGATAGTGCTTTTGGGAAGAACTGAAGCAAAGAATGTACCACTGCATGGCAGGAGACCTGTAAGCTCCTTTGCTACCCCTGTGTAAGGCTCCATTCGCATAGCAGGAACTTGTATTCCTGCACTTTTCTGCGTGTTTTCACACGTTAACACTTGTTGTGCCTAGGGCAGCCCAAGCTAAAATAGGCTGCACTACATGCAACAAATGCCCCCAAGAAGCTTCTGTATATTTTTTGGAGTTGTGAAAAAACACTCAGCATATGTGCGCCTGCTACCTGCGCTTGGGATGCTATTAACATTTTCTTACAGCCACTAATCAGATTTCAACATGCCTGGAACTTTGAATTTGGAATTGCGCTTTAAAATACATGAAAAACCACTAATTAAATTCTTCTTTTTATTTTTTGCTTGAAGGTGAGACACTGGAGGAAGCTGTTCAGAGAGAGGTAGCAGAAGAAGTTGGGTTAGAAGTTGACTCTCTTCGATATTCTGGATCTCAGCACTGGCCTTTCCCTAACAGTTCCCTGATGGTAGCATGTCAGGCTACAGTGAAAAATGACAAGGTGAGCACTACTGTCCTCACATTTCTACAGTAATAAAAATAAGCACATTTCTTGCTGGAGTAGTGTTGTTTGAACCATAGGGTGACATGGCATATGAGCCTGCAGGTTATTCATAGACAGAAGTTTTGTACTTAGTCACCATTCCCTGTCACCCATTTGAGTTGATTTACTAAAGGTAAATAGTCTCCCCAAGAATAGTGCTGCGCTGCCCTCTAGTGACCCACAAAATACAAACATTAATAATAAACACCCTCCTGAGCATCAAACCCAATGTCTAATAAAATAAATATGTGAAACAAATAGTCAATAGTAAATAAAAAACATAAAACTGGCTGAGCCACTAAATCCAAATGATATGTTAAACATATATAAAAAAACAAACAAAATCAAGTAGTAATAAACACCTGGCAAACCTATAATAAACACCTGGCAAACAGCTGGCCAACCTATAATAAACACCTGGCTGAGCTGAAGAATAAAGTGTAAAAAAAACAACAAAAAAAACAGTAAAATATGTGAAACGTATATCAGAAATAAAACATAATCACAATGGCAGTAAACACTTGGCTGAGCTGTAATAAACATCTGGCATAAAGTGTGAAAATAAACAATATTCCATTGTGGACGGAAGCTTGTGATGTTTCTGGTGCATGCAGGAGCCGCCATCTGGGTTCACCCTGTTTTTCCCTTAAATGCTTGCAATAGGTTCTGTGAACTTTGTATCTGAGTGGCATTTTTTAATACAATTTTATGGTAATAAAGCCTTACTACACTATGGGGAGTTCCTTATCTTTGGAGCACCTATCCATTGGAGTCGGGATGTAAAGGATTGTTCCTGAGAGTGCCTGGAGAGACCCGTGGAAGCAGAGGATCCAGTGGGATTCATACTGAGCTCATGTTGACCTATATCTTCTGTGGGTCAGGTGTTAAGGTGAGCATGCATGCCTGAGGGTGGAGGAGCATGATAGATTTGATATCTGTTGAAGTCACTGGTACATTACTTTAAATGTTGGAAGAAAGAGACTGTTATATCACTTTTGGACTGCATTTTACACTTTAAGTGTGATCATTCTCTATTTATCTGTTTTTTGTGTATATTCAGTAGAGCTGCTTATCTCATCCCATATTTATTCCACTGAGGGGCTGATTGCTCAGTTGGGCATTTGAATTACAATCAGTTAATACTGTTTTTGTTGATTTTCACACTTTATGCTTCAGGTCAGCCGGGTGTTTATTACAGCTGGACCAGGTGTTTAATGCTATTGTGATCATGTTTCACATACTTTACTGTTTTTGTTGTTTTTTACACTTTATTCTTCAGCTCAGCTGGGGTGTTTATTGCTACTTGATTTTGGTTTATTTTTCATATATGTTTAACATATCATTTTGGTTTTAGTGGCTCAGCCAGTTTTTTGTTTTTATTTATTATTGACTTTGTTTCATAGACTTATTCTTGCACATTGGGTTTGATGCTCATGAGGGTGTTTATTTTTTATTAGCGTATTTTTGGGTCACTATTCTTTGGGAGTTTTATTGGTGTGGGAACATATTTACAGTGGGGCAAAAAAGTATTTAGTCAGCCACCAATTGTGCAAGTTCTCCCACTTAAAAAGATGAGAGAGGCCTGTAATTGGCATCATAGGTAGACCTCAACTATGAGAGACAAAATGAGAAAAAATATCCAGACAATCACATTGGCTGATTTGGAAAGAATTTATTTGCAAATTATGGTGGAAAATAAGTATTTGGTCACCTACAAACAAGTAAGATTTCTGGCTCTCACAGACCTGTACCTTCTTCTTTAAGAGGCTCCTCTGTCCTGCACTCATTACCTGTATCAATGGCACCTGTTTGAACTTGTTATCAGTATAAAAGACACCTGTCCACAACCTCAAACAGTCACACTCCAAACTCCACTATGGTGAAGACCAAAGAGCTGTCGAAGGACACCAGAAACAAAATTGTAGACCTGCACTAGGCTGGGAAGACTGAATCTGCAATAGGCAAGCAGCTTGGTGTGAACAAATCAACTGTGGGAGCAATAATTAGAAAATGGGAAGACCTACAAGACCACTGATAATCTCCCTCGATCTGGGGCTCCACGCAAGATCTCACCCCGGTGGGTCAAAATGGTCACAAGAACGGTGAGCAAAAATCCCAGGACCACATGGGGGGACCTAGTGAATGACCTGCAGAGAGCTGGGACCAACGTAACAAAAGCTACCATCAGTAACACACTACGCCGCCAGGGACTCAGATCCTGCAGTGCCAGACGTGTCCCCCTGCTTAAGCCAGTACATGTCCGGGCCCGTCTGAAGTTTGCTAGAGAGCATTTGGATGATCCAGAAGAGGATTGGGAGAATATCATATGGTCAGATGAAACCAAAATAGAACTGTTTGATAGAAACACAACTCGTCATGTTTGGAGGAGAGAGAATGCTGAGTTGCATCCAAAGAACACCATACGTACTGTGAAGCATGGGGGGTGGCAACATCATGCTTTGGGGCTGTTTCTCCACAAAGGGACCAGGACTACTGATCCATGTACAGGATAGAATGAATGGGGCCATGTATCGTGATATTTTGAGTGCAAACCTCCTTCCATCAGCAAGGGCATTGAAGATGAAACGTGGCTGGGTCTTCCAACATGACAATGATCCCAAACATACCACCCGGGCAACAAAGGAGTGGCTTCGTAAGAAGCATTTCAAGGTCCTGGAGTGGCCTAGCCAGTCTCCAGATCTCAACCCCATAGAAAACCTTTGGAGAGAGTTGAAAGTCTGTGTTGGCTAGCGATAGCCCCAAAACATCACTGCTCTAGAGGAGATCTGCATGGAGGAATGGGCCAACATACCAGTAACAGTGTGTGCCAACCTTGTGAAGACTTACAGGAAACGTTTGACCTCTGTCATTGCCAACAAAGGATATATAACAAAGTATTGAGATGAACTTTTGATATTGACCAAATACTTATTTTCCACTATAATTTGCAAATAAATTATTTCCAAATCAACCAATGTGATTGTCTGGATTTTTTTCTCATTTTGTCTCTCATAGTTGAGGTCTACCTATGCGGCCAATTACAGGCCTCTCTCATCTTTTTAAGTGGGAGAACTTGCAGAATTGGTGGCTGACTAAATACTTTTTTGCCCCACTGTAGGTGCTTGCAGCAGTTTATCATTTATTTGTGGCAGCGCGTGAGTATCATATCCTTATTTTTGTTTAGGAAAATAGATTGTTCACTTGCCATGGAATATGCCCCACAGATTAGTTAATGAGGTGAAGCTTTGGTGACTTCCACCATCCAGTCACAAGCAAGCAAAAATGCGTTTTTTTTTTTGGGGGGGGGGGGGGTATTCTCTGCAAAGTGAAATTTCATCACATTCACTAATCTCTGGGGCAGGGCGAGGAAGTGCTGTTTTGTCTCCCCAATGTCTGTTTTAACCCTGTAAATGCCATACGACTGTGCCTGCAATGCATACGGGTGCAGGGCAGTTGTGGCGCAGCAACATTTGGCAGCAGTACTGCCTGTTGAATGCGACAGGGGGATAATTTTTGCGGTGAAATAAAAGTAACAGAAATTTAAAGTGATTCTAGCTGTAGTTAAAGCTATATAAAAATGGGCTGGAGTTCAGTTTACATATAAATGAAGAATGCAGATTGGAAATACTAGAGACAGATAATATTAGCAAAGTGAATTTGTATGCTAAGCCGGAAGATTTTTACTGCTGAACCTTGCTTTCAAATGTCTCCTGTACAGCTTAATATCAACAGAGCCGAGTTGAAAGATGCCAGGTGGTTCAGCTTGGATGAAGTGATTGAAGCCCTGCAAGTGAAAATGATGCCTCCAAAAATGGCAGATGGCACCTTGCCAGTATGGGTACCACCGAGGTTTGCCATTGCTCATCATCTAATCCAGGAGTGGGTACAAGAACGGAAGACACAGCTGAAATTAAAGTAAAACACTGCGGACAATCAGAAATCAGTGCTCCACTTATACTATGAAAGTGCCAGCTCTGTCAGTGCAATGATGTCCATATCAAACGGTGGTTGAGAAATGACATATAGTACAGATAAATAAGACTCCGTAAGTGCAATTTTATCTCTCCTAACTTGGTACAGATCTGTACACCCATTATCATTTTTTTGTGTATGTGTATATATATATATATAAAAAATATATTTTATAGCAAGATCAGCACCTGGTATTCAAATACCAGCCATAGCTGGTATTTTGTTGGTCTGCCAGTATTAAAACTGCCTTCTCACTTGAGACTTTCTTTTATAACTTTTTAAACTAATTATAATAACTTCTTAATTCTATTTTATACTGCATTTGTAGAATGGAACTTGTATCCTTACTATAGAACATTTAGATATGTTTCACGTTTACTTTTATAATGAAAATTTTGCCTTCCATCAGGGAACAAAGCGACAAGGGACTGAAGAGAAAGGGTTACCTCTGTGCACTTGCTGTAACGGGGATTATGATGAAGCATTACCATGTACAGCACTTCTTTTCTGCAGTTACACTCAGGGCATGTGAAAGGTGTTCCGGGTAGCGACCAGCCAAAGAGGATGACGCAATTATCCTCTTCAGCTCTGTGCATGTGCAGAGAAGGCAGCTATTGCGATGTTTAGTTGTCCCCATAATCAGTCTATCCTATAGGCTGGATGTTACTAGAATAAAGAGGCATTGTGTGCATAAATGCTATGCTAGCCCTGGACAGGCTACCATAGTATTGGGGACAGTATGACCATAAATCTTTCCATCAGTACACACAGAGGATATATTGGCATGATAACTTTTGTTAAAGAGTGGACATGCAATTTAGACATGATGTTATATGGGCTGCTTCCATGCCTTACATATATCAGTACTCTTCACCTTTGAGGCTGTGAGGAATTACGATCCTCTCAAGTGTAAGTGATAGAACTGTACCTAATCAAAGCTGAACCCCAGGGGGACACATTGAAATTAAATCATCACAGCTATGGATTAATTAATATAATTAATAATATTATCAGCTTCCTATAAGAAGGGCCTCTTGCAATCAATCGGGACTTTGCTGCAGTGGACAATGTCATCACTCTAACACTGGGGGTTTGCTGACAGAGGGAGAGAACAGAGATAGTACAGTGATATTGCTCCACTTTCCAATTAGCAGGTTAGGGGCGGGTTGGTCTAAGTCCAAGCTGTATTGTTTAAATGCAATGGAAGTCAAGGGTTCGTAGATCACAACATAATTACAAATAATTCAGTAAGTAACACACTTTATACTTGCATTTCACAAATGCGTTTAGCTGCTTGAGCCTTGATGAAAAAAACAACAAATGTGCCTGAACACAAACCTTACCTTTTTGTATTGCCTGTCTTTTAATGCTCGATGATTGTAAAAACTGACACTACCTCAGTAATTCTACATCTGGGATTTTTAGCTTAGGGTTACATTTTCAGGGCAAACTCCAGCATAGTGATAGTCCATCAGAATGTGACTTTTATTTGCAGTTGTAGGTGGAGTTGATGGTCTGACTTGCACTAGCTTATTAGATCTATCCAGATCCTGGTGATGAGATCTTCCTAAAATGCTTTCCAGCTTTCTTGGTGCCCATCTTAGCATGTTAGGTGTTCATCTCTACCTTAGATGTTCTCACTTTTCTTTTTGACTCTAGAATAGTACAAATGCATAATCCAGCAAGGAGACTGAAATCCTCCTGTAATGGCTTCTCCAAGTATGCAGACCTAGCCAATCATTGATAGATCTCTCACAAATTATAGATGTAAAGACTTGTTTGGTGATTTAACTCTACAGCAACTACCAAAAAGGGAAACGCCACTTTTGGATGGATTGATCCTATAACATTCTGTTTACAAGTACATTTGGCGCTCTGGACAATGAATAGAATTTGTTTTTGTTTTATTAGAGAATATATCTTCCTGAAATTTCTTGTGACGATGATGTATTAATGAAACCTGTTATAACATGGACTGAAAAAAAAAAAAAAAATTTTACTAATTAAAATGAATGCATACTAAAAACGTTAATGTGTTATTTTATTTTGTAAAATGTTTGGTTAATGAAAGTTTGTTTTCTGAAAGATAAAGAATCTGAATGAATGATACACAAACATTCTGAGGTGGTCACTGTCAAGCCCACTGTTTTGCCAGGCTTGCTGCAGCATTTGGTAATTAGATGTAAAAAGTGACCACACAGATTACCTTGTACATATATCACCTAAAACCCGCCATTCACATTTAGATTTCTCTTATTCAGCCTGCAAATTAACTAATGCTAAACAGTGTCGATGGAGAAATCTCTACTGCCAGCGGTGGTATTAAAGCTGCCATGACACCCGCAGCTGCCTGAATAACCAGATAGTGTTTGCATCTGATAAGATGCAGTCACTGTTTTGCTAATTAACTTTTCAATTTAAGTAACTTTTTGTTTAGTCAGATGGTGCTGACAGGGCCATCCATGGCTTGAATTTCAGCCAATTGTAATTTGAGCTGTGTATGGCTAGAGAACTTTTTATACACAGGTTGTATTTGATTAAATCACAGGTACATATAATGATATGAAAAGGTTTCATTGACTGTCTGGAACAAAGATTATCCTTGTTACTGTTCGTAACTCAATTTTAAGCTGCATAAGAAAATGACAGCTGCAGAGTGAAAGCTTAGATCCCATTGGCTGCAATAAACAATGTGGAAAATGATGCTGGACACCTCAATTAGGACGTGTGAATAGTCTAAATTTGCTAAGAATTCACTGAAGGGGGGGGCGGAAGAGAGAAAAAAAAAAAAAAAAAAAAAAAAAAAAAGAGGATGGGGGGGGGGAAAGAGAGAGGAAAAAAAAAAGAGGGGGGGAAGAAAGAGAGAGAGAGAAAGAGGATGGGGGGAGAGAAGAGAGGGGGGGGGAAAAGAGAGAGAAAGAGAGAAAAAAAAAAAAAGGAGGGGGGGGGGGGGGGGAGAGAGAGAAAAAAAAAAAAAAGGAGGATGGGGGGGGGGGGGGGTTGTCTACTGGTATTTGTGAGAAGGTTGTGGGAAGCCTTTTGTTTTATTACCACGAGTGGCCCCAGTCAGGCAGACAATGACTGCCTGGTTAAACTTTTTTTTTTTTTTTTTTTTTAGACTATAGTAGGTTTGACAAATTGCAGAAACAAAAAATGTAAAGCATGTACTTTTGTGTTTAAGTTGTAGATTTTATTTAGTCTGCTATAAAATATTAAAAAAACATGCAAGTTGCATTACTTTTGACACGGAAATAGATTTCTTCTTTGAAACATTTTAAAAAACAGGAAAGTTTTTACATATAAAGTATGACATTGCTTAGTTTTCATACAAGGGTAAAGAGAACCAAGAATCATCTAAAAGACCTAAAGGATGTCCTGTATCAAAATGTCTGATATCTGTGTGACCCATAAAACTGCCAGGTGTCAGCATAGAACAGGTTCTGATTGGCTGTCAGACAACTCAGATCTTGTTCTTTCACTTGCTGTATCTGACCACACAAGCAGTTTTTTTCATAGAATATGAGTATATGAGTATGTATTCCTTGGGGATGCTTAGTTTATCACAAAATAGCCCCCCCTATTGGAAATATTCAAACAGATTTATTTTCCAAATTAGCAGAGATTTTGTAGCCCCCGTTTGTCGAATGCTGTGGTAAGAATATATTACGCTATCCTGTCTGGCAGTTACAATGGTTATCTGGTTAACTGCATGATGTGAATTCCTTTAAGGCCCTGGCTAAAATTGTGATTTATTTCTAGCCACCCAGGATTAAGTGCCATCATATCAGTCATAAGGAGGTGGAGGTGGATAAGTGGGTCCTAAGAGATGTTGGTTTTCTAACCATGACCAGTAAAATTCTATATGATGGTAGAGCTAGGAAGTAGAAATGTTCCACTATTTGTGAGCCATGCTCTAGAACACATTAAAGTAGAAGTTTGGGATATACCTAATTCATCTTAAAAATGTCCCCTCCCTCCTCCTAACAATTATTCAGACTAACCGGTGTAAGAAAGTTCAGTGTACTTACCTACTTTCAGCCTGCTCCGGTCTGGTCACAAGGTCTCCTGTGTCATCCAACACTGGCTACAAGGGAGAGAATGCTCGACCATGGCTGGCAATGCCTGGGAGCAATGAGGTCACCCATAGATTTACTATGGCCCATCCCTCCTCTCCCCTGCAGCTGGCTGTTAGAGGGTAGTTGGATCATATGACCGGGCCAGAGCAGCCTGAAAATAGATAAGATGTACATTTTTCTTACACAAGTTAGTCAGCATAAGTGTTAGGAGGGGGAGGGAGCATTTTTAAGATTAGTTAAGTATATCCCAAAATTCTGTTTAAAGAGTTGAATCAAAACTACAATACTTTTATTCCCATGCAAGTCAACAGGAACACAAAAGCAGCATAGCAGGTGGTCTTGAGCACCTCTAAAGAAACACAGAAGCATCGGAAACGGATTTTAATGCACCTTAAACCAGGCTGCAAATGCCCAACTACACAGGCTCTAAACCAATGGTGACATACCCAGGTATTTAAAAGGTGCTTATAACAGCTATCTAACACAAATGCAAAACATAGACAACCAATGCAGCGAGATATTCTATAATAACTAAACCTAATTAACACATCTAATGTTAGTACCTGAATTTGACTTGATATTAGCCTCTTGAAATTTATACAGCAGTATGTTGACAGGGAGCATGCCAGGCAACACTGGGAGCTAATCAGGTATGCTGCATTCATATGTCTTGATAAGAAACATAATGATAAGATGAGAAAGAAGAGTGAGTAGAACGATGACCTCATCGGTCTTGTAGCTGCTCTTTCACTGTCCAGTCAGCAGAGAGAGTACACCACTGTATTTATTAACTGAAAGTGGTGTCATCCATATGGTTGTATTTTATGGCTGGATTTACACAACCTCAGGACTGCTTTAAGCATTTGGAAGA